TTATTCTTTGCATAATCATCAATAAAATAGCTCTTTCATAGAAAGAAAATGATTGTTGCTTTTATGTTTCTTTTCACATGGTTCACCGTACACTTCTCTAACTTCAACAACTGTTATTTGCCATCGTGATTCTCTTTGTCCAGACTATCCATTTAATTATATTTATTATTTTACCTGGAAATTCTTACTAGATTACTGCAAATGTGGACAAACCCATCTTTTATAATGATACTTGTGTTCTGGTGCACGGATTTGTGTATATTGAAAGGAAATTAATTAGAAGAAATGTTTTAATATCTCTATTTGCCCTTTCTCTATAATAGAAGTGTCAACCACATTCATGATTGACAATGACAGACTGAAACACACACATGTGATTGGCGCCATTGAGAGCCTTATATGTATTGTGCATGCACTAGTCAACTTAGCCTTTTATATATATATATATATATATATATATATATATATATATATATATATATAGATATAGATAAACTTACTTAATTAGACCTGCTTTCTGATTAGCTAACCTTTTTCCATTCCAGTGAAGCACCCCAACTTCTCTTTCAGGTAATTGTCAGCAACATAGCAATAAATATCAATACGAAGCAGATTATTATTGAAGATCATGCAGGGAGAACAAAGGGTGAAATATTTAACTGCAGCAGTGTTTGACTGTATTCTGCACAGTGAGAAAACCTGAAGTCATTTTCAAGTTCCACCATTTCTTACTTCTTTTCAGTTGGGTCAAGTTTCTAAACTTTCTAAATCTCTGTTTTCCAGTTAATGAAAAGAAAATAGGATTCTACTGAGTCTCAATGTTTCCCAAACTTTTGACACATGTGTACCCCTTCTATAATTTTCGTAACGTTGAATACCCCTCGTACTCATGAGAACGTAGAATTAGGCGCAGCTAAGCACGCTGCAGTGCACATCCCCACCAAACTCCAGTGCAACGCGTACCCCCACCAAATTCCTTCTGTACCACACTTTGGGAAACACTGAGTCCTACTCCAGGACTTCTGTGAGGATCAAATGAGATGAGGCACAGGAAAATGCTTCACAGAAATTTGGTTAAAGTGTAAATGTTTGCACCTGGCTATAAAAACAAGTCAGGTTCCTAGACTGAAGAAACTCCAAGAAGGCTAGTTGCTAGGGAGAGGAACTTGGGCATTGCTACTTCACGTCATTAACCAGCACCCTCAGAAACTGTTTTTGGGCTGGGCTGGGATATGGGCCGCATGCTGCATCATAAGGTCTTGGCAGTGTTGGCTGCAATTTGATGCAGTGTGGTGGTGGGGCCTGTGTCCCACTTGGGGGAAGATGAGTGTTGGTTTGTCAGCTCCAGGTCCATGGTGCCATTATTTTTAAATGACCAGTGCACATCACGCCAGCTCTTGCATTGAGTGTCCACCCCTTGGTGGTCACTGCATGTCATAGTTACCGAATTAGAGGAAAGAACACTTAGTTTTATATCTATATATAAATTCATGCAATGCACTAAGGTGGAGGGGTGGGGGAGAGAGTGTCCCTCAGCCTCGCCTGCCCCCTCTCACAGTCTGGGAGCCCTGAGGGGATGTCCTACTTAAAGCTCCCTAAGGAGTGGGCCTAAGCCAGTCTGGCCTTCCTCTGTGGGAAGCGACTGGGCTGATCAGGGGAAGGCGCTGCCCCATCACCCTGCTGCTCTTGTCACTGCTGGTTGCAGAGGTGGCCTGAGCCCCGGGGCTCACAGCCTCTGTGGCTCTGTCTGCCCTAATTAGCATATTACCCTTTTATTAGTATAGATAGTACTTGGTATGCTTTAAAAAAGATTAACTCATAAATGTTTACATTTTATCTGTTACCTGAAATCCTATAAGGTGGAGATGGTAAATTTTATTAATCCAAATGACTAGTATATGCCTGCAACTTAGTTGCTTTAAAATATTTAAAAAATAATGTCTGAATAAATTTTCACAATCATGTGAGAATTAGAAATTATATATGCAAGATTCTTATTCTTCATATTCAAAGCTATTAATATTAACATATAGATATTAACTTAAGAAAAATCCTGCATAAAAACACATTTTATTATTTATAAGGAATCATCTTAAATTATTCTATATATAGCATTATTATTGATATTCTTTGTTTTGTACATGGACTTCATTTTAGAAATATGCATTCATATTTCCTGGATATAGATGTGCTTAAAATAATTTGACATCTCCTAGAAATCTAGACTGTGTTCATTATATACATTCTTTTGAAAAGATCTGAGATAATACCAGGTACACAAGTAAAATTGAATTGATGATCAATTCATGTTTCACAATACAAGTTAGGACTAGAGGAAGCTATATTGGAGAGAGTTTTTCTATAATTCAATTACCAGTAACCTTTTTACTCAGGAAATAATGTGACTGTCTAATAATATACAAGATAATGACCACCAACAACAAGAAAATAGAAGTGAAAACTAAAATGACAGCTAAAGTAGACAAGATTTATCAAATACTGTACTTATGACTTAAGGGTTTTGTGACTTAAGGGTTAAAATGATAAAATATTTAGTAATTATTGTGCAATTGACCAAAATTCTGCTAGAAGAGGTAGTAAAATTGACATTTTTTTTGTCAATGCTAATATTATCAGGCTTATTGGCAATTTAGACCTAACTTGTTGCATTTATCAAATTAAAATATATTATATTTTGCTTCCTGTTAGAATTTGAGGTTACTTAGGGCAAGAATCATTATTTTTTACTTATTTATTTTTAATCCTCACCTGAGAATATTTTTCCATTGATTTTTAGAAAGATAGTAGAAGAAAGAGAGGAAGACAGAGAGAAACATAGATGAGAGAAACACATTGATTGGTTGCCTCTTGCACAAGCCCTGACCAGGGCCTGGGCCCAGAAAGAGGAGACCACAATTGAGGCTCATGCCCTTGACTGGAATCAAACCCAGGATCTTCAGTCTGCAGGTGGATGCTCTATCCACTGAGCAAAACAATCTAGGGCAGTGATCGGCAAACTCATTAGTCAACAGAGCCAAATATCAACAGTACAATGACTAAAATTCCTTTGGAGAGCTGAAAACCGACTTCTGCACACAGGCCACAAAGTTTCAATTGCACTGTACAAGCATGCCTGCACGTGGTATTTTGTGGAAGAGCCACACTCAAGGGGCCAAAGAGCCACATGTGACTTGCAAGCCACAGTTTGCCATCCACTGATCTAGGGCAAGAGTCATTATTTGTCATCACCATATCCTCAACATCTATCATAAGTAAGTAAAACCTAAGTGAGTTAATCATACATTCAAAAGTCCTTTAACTATTCTAATATTTAACATGAACTTCTCATAATTATTATTAGTGAAAGCCAGTACAAAAATGAAAGTAATCCTATTAGCCTGGATTTTGAGATTAAAGAAAAATAATGTAAATCCCAGTTTGAAAGCTACAATCTCTGTGACAAAGAACTCTTGACCTCAGTTTCTTCTTGTTCATTCACCTGTAAATTAGAAATAGTAATATTCACTTTCTAAGAGGTTTTTAAATATTGTGTACAGTTTGCCTAATTGAAGTAGAGGGTACAGAAAATTATAAACAGATGTTTAAAATTTTTCTTTCCTTAATTCCCAAACCCCTAAGTCAGTTGTAGATACTAAAGCACAATTCTCCAGAAAGTTGAACTCTTACCAGATTATTATAGTTTCATGCGTTTTACTTGATATATTTTACATTGTCTGTTCTCTACATACATTTTAATTTTTGGAAGTAGTTAATCTAACTGAAGGAAAATACCTCTGATTAAAAGATGATAATAATTGTTGGTGCCTCATAAAGTTATTGGCAGAATTAAATGAGCCAATACAAAAAAAAACAAACAAAAAAAACAAACCCAAAATCAATAACTCTAGAATTTGATAATTGCTGAAAATTTTTTATTTTATTTTATTTTCCATATCTCTCTCTTCTCCTTCTCATTATATTATAATTATTATTAACTAGAGGTCTACATCGGCTGCAGGCTGCTGGCCAGGGCTTCCCTTCCTTCCCCCCGCCAGCCCCGGCCCCTGGTCAAACTCCTGGACAACTCTAGGTTGAGGGGACAATTTGCATACTAGGCTTTTATTATATAGGATAATAATTTTAATATATATGAGTTATAATCTTTAATATATTTATGTAGATGTTTATATTTTGCTCCCAACCTCCTGGTAATGGTGACAATTTGATTTCATGCAAATGCCAAGTAAAATAAAAATTTTCCAATAACATTCATTTCTATTACCTGCTAAGAATGGTAAGATCAATATTTCACATCTATCCTGACATTTTTCCAATTAAATGCCCTATATCTCTTCAAAAACAGGAGGCTTCTACTTAAATCATAATCATTAGATTTTTTTTTTTTTACTTCATTCAAGTACATTTGAATATAATATTTCACAGAATACTCTGAAGCAATATCCAGTTTTACAAATTTATTGAGTATAACATTTGGGAAATTTTAATATGAAAATAACAAAAACTGATTCATTTGCCTCTCAGCATAACCATTATGACTTGTCTCATTTTTGATTCTTATAAGGTATTTCTTGTATCAAATGATCTCACGCATCTAGGGGAAATAATGAAGAACATAAACTGATGAACAAAAACAGACCTGAAGACAGGGAAGCATTGATCAGACTGTCAAATCTCAGAGCAAAGGTAGGGGTGAGTGAGGGAAAGGGGTAGAAATCAACCAAAGGACTTGTATGCATCCATATAAGCCTAACCAATGGTCATGGACAACAAGGGGGTGAGGGCATACGTGGGGAGGGGTTTGGAATGGGAATGGGGGGATGAGGACAATTATGTGATACCATAATCAATAAAAAATAAAAATAATTAATTAAAAAATAACAAAGGGAAAATAGCTGTAATAAAGCAAAGAGTGTTTTGGGAGAGTATGAAAAATAGAAGTCATTGATAGGAACTTTATCCTTTTAATGTTACCAGCACTTTCACTTACCAGAGAAAAACAGAACCTTTTGAAAAGCATCTTTAAAGGCTTGCTTTACTTGCTGGTTCCTCAGGGTATATATAAACGGATTCATCATAGGAGCAACGGAAGTGTTCAGAATAGCTACTCCTTTGGTCAATGATGCCTTCTCTTTTGCTGAAGGGTTGGCATACATGAATATGCAGCTTCCATAAGAGATGGAAATGACAATCATGTGAGAGGAGCATGTAGAAAATGCCTTTTTCCTCTGGCTGGCAGAAGGCAGTCTTAGAATTGTCCTAATGATGAACGTGTAGGACAGAATTATCAATGCCAAAGTGAAAAGCAGAATCACTATGGCTGAGTAAAAACCAATCACTTCCAGGAGCCAGGTGTCTGAGCAGGATAATTGCAAAAGGGGGAAATAGTCACAGGCAAAGTGATCGATGACATTGGAACCACAGTAATCTAACTGGAGGAAAAGAATAACTGGTGGGAAGATATTTAAGAATCCTGCCAGCCAAGCACAAAAGACAAGCACTATGCAGACTCTTTTGTTCATGATAGTTGTATAGTGCAGGGGCTTGCAGATGGCTACATAGCGGTCATAGGACATGGCAGTCAGAAGATAAAATTCAGTTATGCCCATGAAGATGAAGAAAAACAATTGAGCTGTGCAAGTATTGTATGAAATAGTTTTGTCTCTGGTAATAATGGTGCCTAAAAATCTAGGAATACAGACGGTTGTAAAGGATATTTCTAATACAGAGAAGTTCCTGAGGAAGAAATACATAGGGGTCTGTAGGTGAGAATCCACCAAGGTGAGAGTGATGATGGTCAAATTTCCTGAGACACTTAAAATATATGTGATAACTAAAAAGAGAAAGATCACTATCTGAATCTCCGGATCATCTGACAGTCCTAGAAGAATGAATTCTGAGGGTGCTGTGTGGTTTCTCATTGCCAATCCTTCCCCCTGCTTTACAACAGAAAATATGTTTCCCCTACAGAACATAAAAAAAGTTAAAACAGGATTGAGGATTGAGTATGACATTTTAAAAATATCTATGATGATAAATAATCTATGAAATTCAAAAACACGTTTCCCTTCAGCTACTCTCTCCAATTTCCATCAACCTTACATTCAAGTAATGAATATTAACTGAAATTAAATACAATCTCTTTTCTTTGAAAACACACAGACCATGGAAAAAAATCTTGTGCTAATATTTAAACGAAAGCTATTTTTTTCCTAATATTTCTTTAAAATTAAGCTTGCAACGATTCTTTAAAATATTTAGTCCTTTTAAAATATCCCTAACAGATCATTTTTATTTCCCCAATATTATAAAAATAGTCCAGATTGTGATAACCTAAATACAGAGTTTGAAAGGTGGCAGAGAAAAGTTTAGATTTTATAGTTTTAGGCTTACATAGTTTTAGGAGACTTTTACAAAGTTAAACAACTACTCAACATAGTAACATCTCACTGTGGCGCATGCGTTTATCCCTGGGAAAGGTCTGCTGATATTCTCTTCTACTTTACTTTCTTAGGGGTTTGGTTGATGCTACCCCTTTTCTGATAAAAAGTCCAAAAGAACAAGAAAGGCAAACTTCTGATATTAAAATAAGTGATTGCCCAGAAACAGTTTAATTTATACAATGCATAATTTATTTGTTGTTTCCAATATTGCTATGGCAAAGAAACAAGTAGATGATCAAAATAACATTTAATGGGAGTGAGGTATTACTTTTAATATGGAATCAAATTTTATAATCTGATTTCTATAACAGAATACCATTAAACTTGGAAAAAGTAATTGAACAACCCAAAACTTATTTCTGGATTCCTGCTTTAGGATTCCATTTATAGTCCCTTTGATATTAAACAACTGCTTAACTTTTAATATAAAAAGGGATGTACATCCACCAATACATATGCAAATAATATTTTTAAACACTTGAATAAAATAGAATACTATGTTGGAGAATAACAAATTTACTTACTTCTTGGTTCTTCTTGATGATTTAGTCTCAAACTTAACTGTCTAATTGGCTTAAATATTTACATAATTTCAGAGCTGATAAATTGAGTTAGCAATTTATTTTATTTTTATTGTACTGTCAGAACAAGTGTGGTAACTTAAACTTTTTTTTATAATTCTCAGGGATTATAGTTCTCTCTTTTTTTTAAAAAAACAAAACTAGTAATATTTGACAATATCATTTATTCCTGGTACTGTAAAAATTTTTGAACATATTATCACAAAACTCATTCCTGCTTTTTGTCTTTCACCTGAGATCCATCAATTACACCTGGGTGGATAAATAAATAAATAAATACATTTATTAAAGATTTTCTTTGTATTTATGGAAACATTTCAAAATACATTTTGTAATTCTATGGTTACACATCTACAAAATTTAAATATACTTTCCTTATACTTCAGAGACTGTGATGTTTTCCTGCAAATGCTGTCTTAAGAAAAAGGAAATAGGAATGTTCTTCTTTATATGCCATCCGAGTGGAACTGGACTTACTTTATCTGCGTCTTTCTTATTGGCTCAGGGGAGTTCATTAAGTAAGCTGAGTACCAAGGAGAGGCATTATTAAGGATGTAGATGACTCATTTTTATAAATATTGATAAAAATTAAAAAACAGAATGGTTGAGGTAAATGAGGCAAAAATATAAACAAGATGTATATTGAGTGAATGGAAGTTTGATTTATAATGACTCTTCTAACACTGTCCAAGGGGTCCATTTTTTTCTCATAAAGATTCTGGACATAAACCTCAGGAAGGTTCATGTGCTTATAGGTCATAAATTTTAGAAAATTAAAAAAAGAGTTCTTTACCGTACCAGGATGAAATGGTTCAAAACACTGCACTGGATTTCTAGTATGACTTGACTGTCTTCTGAAATGGACAACATGTTAAAGACTGATGAGGAGTTCTATCCCAATATTGACTCTGAATTGACAGAAACCCTTCCCATGGCCCATGACTAATTTTTTTTTCTACTTTCCTTCACCATATCATTTACTTTCATGCCCAGCCGAAGTGACCCAGTGGCTGAGCATTGACCGATGAACCAGGAGGTCGTGGTTTGATTCCCGGTCAGGGCACATGCTTGGGTTGAGGATGTGCAAGAGGCAGCTTGTCAATGGTTCTCTCTCATCATTGATGTTTCTATAACTTTCTCCTTCCCTTTCCTTTCTGAAATCAATAAAAGCTGGTTATGTATCTTGTCTTCATCACATTCATACTTGTGGGTAATGCAGCCTTTATTGATTTTCTTAGAGGATAGGAGAGTGAGTTTCTACCTCACAAAGCACTGCGTTTCATTTGAAAAATCTATCAGACATGTTTCTTTTCCATAATATCTTTTCTCAGTCTCCTAGATACTGAAATTGCCTGCCTCTCTTCCTTGACCACTCTCTCACTCTTATTTTTATTATTATTATTATCTTTTATTACTAGTTCCTAATAGCTTTCTAGCTTTAGACTGACTTATACCCATTATACTTCTGCCCACTTACTAGTAGGACATCTGCATTTTAATATCGTATCCAGTTATGTCCAAGTAATTATCAGGTTGATCACTGACTAGGTTTTATTTCTTAAGTATATTTTTATTGATTTCAGAGAGAAAGGGAGAGGGAGGGAGAGAGAAACATCAATGATGAGAGAGAATCATTGACTGGCTGCCTCCTGCATGCCATGACTGCAACCTGGGCATGTGCTCTGACCTCCTGCTTCATAATTGACTAGGTTTTAAACCAATGAAATACATAGTTCAACCTGGCAGAAGTAGCTCAGTTGGTTGGAGTATCCTTGCACTGAAAGGTTATGGTTGTGATCCCCAGTCAGAGCACATATGAAAGGCAACTGATTTATGTTTCTCACATCTCTCTCTCTCTCTCTCTCTCTCTCTCTCTCTCTCTCTCTCTCTCTCTCTCTCTCTCTCTCTCTGTCACTCCCCCCCTCTCCTATTTCTAAGCATGTCCTCTGGGAAAGATTAAAAAGAAATACATAGTTCAACAACCAAGTTTCACTCTTCACATAAAATGGAGGAATAATTAAATTACAAATAATATTTTGTCATAACATGTTCAAAATTCAAAAACAAAATTTATTAAATCAGAGTATTTAAAGGATCCAAATATTTTAAGATTTCTCTGAAAACAATGCAAACTTATCACAATATTATTGACTATTTTCCCCTTCACCCTTTTTTGCCATCTCCACCCTACCCATCTGGTAACCATTCTCTTTGGTCTCTGTTTGTAGGAGTGTGATTTTGTTTTGTTTTGTTTTTTAGATTTCATATATAAGTAAAACCATACAGTTTTTGCCTTTCTCTGTTTGACATAATACTTAGCATAATACCCCCTAGGTCCATACATGTTGGAAATAACAAGATTTCATTCTTTTCTATACTGAGTAATATTCTACATGATCTGTACTCATTCACATATTAGTGGATACCTAGATTGCTTAGCTATCTTGGCTATTGTAAACAATGCTTCATAGGGGTGCATATACCTTTTCAAATGATTTTTCCCCCTTTGGATAAACACCCAGAAGTGGAATTGCTGGGTCATATGAAAGATCTATTTTTAGTTTTTTGAGAAATCTCCATACTGTTTTCTTTAGTGGCAGCATCAACTGTCAATCCCATCACAACGCAGAAGGCCTCTCTTTTCTCTTCATCCTCTCCTACATGAGCATTTTAACAATTTTATTGTTGTCACTATTATATATGTCCCCAATTCTCCCTGTTCTCTATCCACCTTCACCCAGCCTCCCCCTCCTTCCCTCTGGCTATCAACCATACTATTGTGTGTGTGTCTATGGGTAATGCCTATATGTTCTTTGGTTAATCCCTTCACCTTCTTTCATATAGCCAACTTGGTCTTTGTTGACTTTTTGATGATAGCCATTCTGACTGTGAGAAGTGATATTTCATTGGGTTTTGATTGCATTCCCCTGATGATTAGTAACACTGAACATCTTTTCACATGTCTATTGGCCATTTCCTTAGTTCTCAGAGGTGATTTTTTAGCAAAAAATGGTATCTACAGCTCAAGATCTCAATGCTTGGTGGGCTCCTTGCTATTGGGTTCTTGTTAGTCTTTGGAATTTTCATGCAACAGAGAAAAATGCATTTATAAAAATAATAGTCTTAAATTGACATTTCATATTCTAGTACATTAACATATAATTTTTTTCTCATACCACATTTGTATCTCTTTTCCTCAGCACTGAGAAATCTGACTCCAACAATCTACTTACTAGTCAATTACTTAATTCTACAACACACACACAGAATATTTTAAGTGGAAATTGTTACACTCCCATTATTATTTTTAAAAATTTACTAAATGAAGTACAAAACACTTTTTGCAGTGTCTGCACTACTTATGACCAATTATCAAAATACTATCTTGAACAATTAATTGTATCAATTCTCCATTCTTCCCATAGTTATTGGTTTATTTTATAACTAGAGGCCTGGTGCATGAAATTTATGCAAGGGTTGGGAGGGTCCCTCAGCTCGGCCTGCACTCTCCAATGAGGTACCCTTTGGGGGATGTCTGACTGCCTCTCACAATCCAGGACAACTGGCTCCTAACCGCTAGCTTGCCTGCCTGCTTGGTCTCCCCTAACCCCTCTGCCTGCCTGATTTGCCCCTAACTACCTCTGCCTGCCTGATTTGCCCTTAACCACATCTGCCTGCCTGCCTGATTTCCCCTACCTGCTCCCCTATTGGCTTGATGACCCCTAACCACCTCTGTCTCGCTCTGCACCTGGGACCCAGGATTCCCTCGTCTGGCCAGGACCTAGGCTGGCCGCAGCCGCAGGGGACTGTGGGCAGGTGGCTCGGCCCGGGCCTTAGCCACATGTGCCTGGGACCATGGGGCCTGCAGTTTGTCCCTCTCCTGGGCCGCAGGTGCAG